TATAAAGCAGAAATGAAATAAATCGAAAATTTCATTTTTTATAAAAATCGGGCGATACTTTTTGGGGTACTGTACATGTATAATCGCACATAGTACATGTATTGAAGTCGATCAAAATTCTTTGTCATGCATGTACATAGCAGTCTTTTTCTCATTCATATTTAATATACGTACCTAGTTTGGTAAGGCACCTCTGCTAGATACGTAATTGGAAAATCAGTTTATCAATTTTTAATATTGCTGCTTCTACTTACTTATTAACGTCCCGCTCTTTTAAAAAATGATCTAGATCTGGTTTTTTTTTTTGAAAAAGGAAGGGGAGAATTAGTATCATTTGTGCAAAATTATTACCAGTCTTTAAAATAATCTTCATAAATGACATTAAGTAAGAAAAAGATAGTTTTGTTTCACATAGCCAATCGCACAGTCCTGGCGAAAATAATGACGGCCAGTTTTTTTATTATAAAGATTTTGAAAGTGCCTCTGAGTAGGGCATAATGCCACTCAAATATTAATACTTGGTATGCTCTCTTTCTATGTCACTGCAAGTTCGAATATAATTTAATGTTCTAAAACTTTGTAACTTGAACGTTTCTAACTAAATAAAAAAAACTAAAATTCGCAATAGTTTGATAAATATTGTTCTGATTGAAATGGAATTACTACCAAAATGTTCGTCTTATTGAGTTTATTGAGGCAAATATAATAAGACCAAAATTAAAAAAATCTGATCACTGATTATCGAGAAAATAAGTTTTGATGACTGTAACGGTAATAATGGTACGTATGTGATTATCGATTATAGATTCTAAAATCGATTATACAGTGGCTCACTTTTGAAAACGTACTGTTACAGGTTAGTGACCGATTATAGGAATTAGCTACTAATCTGTAACTTGGGTGGGAGAAACGGATTAAACTAAAGTTAATTTATTTATTAGTTTTCCAAGGTTCTGTGCCAATATTGTTGTATTCAATTATCGGTTGGTTTCGTTTACGTGTTTCACGAATATTAACAATGTGTTCACTTTTTCTGGACCAAAAGCGTAAACCCTTAAATCGTAGTCGTCAAAACAATTATCTCACTTTTCTGGATCAAAGCGACAAACCCTTCAAATCATATTCACCTCACTTTTTCTGGATCAAAGTGGCAAACCCTTCTTGTAACAATGAATTTAATTATTGGGATGGAGGATGAAAGGGCACCATAAGAACTAATTGTACACAAGTAAGTAATTATATGTTAAAGTTTTTTATTGCTTTATTGCCAATTCTTCTGCCTATTTTCTAATTGCTCTTTCTCACTCTCTTTATATACATTTTTTTGGCTTCCTATTTATGAAGTAATTTATGATGTAATTTACAGTGTTAATTACAGTGGAATTTATGGTGTAATTTACAGTGGATTTTACAGTGGATTTTACAGTGGAATTTATGGTGTAAATTGAAGTGTAATTGGTGGTGTAATGGTAATTTGCAGTGTAATTTGAACAATGCTTTCTAAAAGGAGACTGTGTTACCAGTGTAACAGTACACAGAAAAAAATGGCAAAATTCAAATATCTCACCATTGAAGAATCATCCATGACCAAAAGCAATTTAATTACATTTATTAAAATGCCAAATATCATTTACAATTGAATTTATTGTTCGATATGATTATAATAAAAAAATAAAAATTTTTAATTATTTTCATGTATGATATAATATGACTGAATTCATTAATGAATATAAGATCTTACAAGCTCAATATAAACAGCTTTTTTTTTTGTTTTATTCATAATTAACACACTTCCCCCATTCCAATAACAATATTAATCACTTTTTTTTTAATTAAATACCTTGAATTTCACTTACAAAATGTTTCTGCATATATATACTTTGCCAAGAAGAATATACAGTGCAAGAAATCGTAGCATCAGAACAAGTAAGTTTAGATTCAGTTTCATGTATATTCAAGAAGAAAGAAGAAACTGGGAACTTCAAAGATAAGTCAAAATTTGGCTGTCTGTGCACTCTTTCTGATTACTACAAACAAAATGCTGTTCGATTGATAACGTCTGGAAAATGCTTCACTGCTATCAAAGTTTAACGCAGACTTTAAACTAACATAAGAGTCAATTTATTTGTGAAAAGTATACGGTGTATACTCAGAAGAAATGGATTATTCACCAGAATAAAATACAAAAAACTGCTGCTCACAAAGACACATAGAAAATGTTGATTTGCCTGAGCAAATAAATGCTGAAATTGGATAATTGATAATTGGTGGTAAATAATCTGATCTGACAAAAGCAAGTACCAGATCTTTGGGTCAGACAGATGAAAATATTGTTGGAAGAAGCCTGATGAATCTTTAAAAGACCAGCATATTATGTCAACAGTGAAGTTTGGTGGTGGTTTAATTATGGTATGGGATTGCATGAGTGTTGATGGAGTTAATGAACTCCGAAAAATTGACAGCAAGATGGATACAAATGTCTACGTTGATATATTAAATACAAATTTGTTAGGTTGCTTTTGGAGACTACACTGGAAAAGAATGAAATTCTTTTTCAGCAAGATAATGATTCAAAACACACTTCCAAAAAAGTAAAAGGTTGGTTTCACAAAAATGAGATTGCAGTTCTCGATTGGTCATCTCAATCTCCTGACTTGAGCCCTATCAAGAATTTATGGAATGAAGTTGATATTTGTATGCGGGACTTCCCGGTTCACTTTCCAATAGAGATGAACTGTGAGAAAAATTACAAATTGCATGGAATAGTGTTGATATCAATTTTTGTGAAAGATTAATCGAATCCATGCCAAAACGGGTTAGGGAAGTGATACAAGCAAAAGGGGAAGTATAAATCAGTAATTTAGTTTAGTAATGTATAATTTTTTTTTGATAGCTGCTAATATTCTCTTAACGAGAAATTGGTCCTTAAATATTTTCGTCTAAATCGGTCATATTATATCGTACGCGAAAATTTTTATTTATTTTTTATTATAATCATATCGAACAATAAACTCAATTGTAAATGATACTTGGCATTTTAATAAATTGCTTTTGGTGTGGATGATTCTTCAATGGCGAGATATTCGAATTTCGCCATTTTTTTTTCTGTGTATGTTTTCAAAAGTGAGCCACTGTATAATCGTTTTCAAATTTGAGAATCGATTCCCAACCAAATCGATCCTATTATTTTTATGACTAAGAATCGAAAAACAGAAATTTATTAGCATTAGGAAAAATTCTCAGTTTCTTTTGATAAACATAATTTGTTCTACCAAATGGCATTTAATCGATTTCGTTCATGTGTAATTAAGCGTCCCACGTCTGAAAATAGACATTCAGATGGAATTGATATAGTAGGAATTGTCAAATATTTACTTGCAAGTTGTGAAAGAATTGGGTATAGGGGATAGGAATTGATTCTCAACATAAAATCAATTCTCGAGCACAAATTACGACGATGTTGATGACGACGACGACAGCAATAACGACGACGACGACGATAGCATAACTGGTCTTTGGCTTTGTTTTCATTGCATGTTGATTTTTTTCCTTTTCGTTAGAAATTATACTTTGGTAAGTTGATTTCGTAGAGATACTACGTGGTACTATAGAGGCAATTAAAGTATTGTGATTCAGTACCTGTTTCATTACGTGTATTTTCTGTTGTTTCATAAATATCATTCAAATTTGGATCAATATATTTTGTAATAAGTTATTAACCTCTATATCGGCAATAGTTTCTTGGTTATTATCAATATTAACATTCTTGTTGAATTTGTTGTGCGTTGTAACATTTGCATTATTTATACGATTTATTATCGTTATCGTTATTAATCGATTTTGTCTTTAAAATGGATTCTTAGAAAGATTCTACAAAATTAATCGATTCTCAGAACCAATTCTAAATCAATCGATTCTAAAGAATCGATTCCTATCCCTAAATGTGCTCCTATCGCTATTAGATTTCCGCAAATTCATCACTTTTTATTTTTTATCTTGCTAGAAATCTAGCACCATTATTTATATATTTTGCTTCTATAAAAAAATTTTAGCGTTAGCGTTAGTAGTAAAATTTATAGAACAACACCGCCGCCGGTTACGGGATGCTTATTTGTGCATGTAATACAAACCCAAAAATGGATATATATAACCTTGTTTCTCGCTCTAACCCTAGCTTGTAATATCTATAACGATAATTGTATAAATGTATTTGTCATGTGTTTTGTATTACATGCACAAATAAGTAACGGTAAAGCTCGGTTATTTGTCCATCATTTTACATGTACCGGTAGGAAAAAAAACAAATTAAAAATGACACTCGACTCGTTATTGACTTCACACTTAAACAGACTCGATAAATTTTATAAAAATTCCAACTATTATGACACTTCGCTTATTATTGGTGAAACTCAGAATACTCAGCGTACTTTTTCAGCCCACTCAGCAATCTTGGTGGCGCAGTCGCAATATTTTGCGGTAGCACTTTCTGATGTTTGGGTGAAACGAGAACCGAACAAGATGATTGTCTTTAAGAAACCGAACATCGAACCTCGAATTTTTGAAATATTGCTAAGGTAATTTCATGAAAAACGAAGCGATACTATTAAATAAAAGTAAGAATGAAAATTAACTGGTTTAAAATTTAATAGATATATTTATAGTGGAAAAATCGATTTGCAAAACCATGGTGTTTCGACACTTTTGGATTTATTAGTCGCAGCCGATGAGTTGATTCTTGAGGATCTAATTGAATATATCCAAGTTTATCTTCTCGAACACCATTCTGAATCTTTGATGGAGAGTTTTGCCTTGATTAATCAAATTGCATTCGAGCATGACTCTTTTACCAAGCTTCACAAATTTTGCACAGATGTCACATGTCAAAATCCAGCTGCAGTTTTTCAATCAGCTGATTTTACCAAGCTACATGAATCAGCTCTCGTCTGTTTACTCGAACGTGATGATCTAAATTTAAGTGAAATCGACCTTTGGGAAAAAGCGCTTGAATGGGGGATTTCTCAGACTGCAGATGCTGGCGATATTGATCTGACGATTCCAACGGAAATTTGGACACATAACGAATTTAAGCAACTTAAATCTACGCTCAAAAATTGTTTATCGTTGATTCGTTTCTTTCACATCAATTCGGTTGATTTTTATAACAAAGTTATGCCCTATGCTGAAATTTTACCGGGAACGCTATATAAAGATTTATTGCATCATTATTTGGTTCCAGGAAGTGAAGAAAACAAGGCTACTTTACACCCAGTTCGTAAAATCAAAACCATTCCTAGCGACTCTTCAATTCTTTCACAGAATCAGATCTCTAAAATAATTGACTGGATTGAAGAACAAGATGATAGTCAGAAAAACAAATACAAATCAATTGAATGGAAGCTGTTACTGCGAGGTAGTCGTGATGGGTTTAAGCATACTGACTTTCATCGTCTGTGTGATAATAAAGGTCCAACAGTTGTTGCCATACGCGTAAAAGGTCAGAAAGAGATCATAGGTGGTTATAATCCATTTGAATGGAATTCTCTTAACAGAGACTATTACCCTTTAAATAGCTTTTTATATGAATTCAATTCTGATGACATTCAAGCCACCAATGGAGTTCTAAGCAAATATACTAAACAAGGGCGGAGTGTGGGGTGCTATGTACCTTATGGTCCAATTTTTGGAAATGATTTATTACTTTATGGTACCTATTCCAATTTTAATACTTCTAATGATAATTACTGTCATAAACACTCCTACGACCACGGTCTATTAAGCTCTGATAAAAATGCAAAGTATTTTAATGTTGTAGATTATGAGGTATATCAAGTGGTGCAGGAATAAGTTTTTTTCATTACTATGAATTAACATTGATAATAATTCTTTTAAAATGAGGATTCTATGTGTTAACTTTGCTAATCACAAATTCAAATTGATGCTAATAAATTATATACTGTAATTCAGAAAAATGCTTATAACTTGCTCTTTTAAAAAATACGCTACATGTCTGTAAAAAATATGGAGATATATGGATATACGTTAAAAATATTTACTGTGATTCATCATATGAAAATACTTTAGTATTACATTATTTAATACTCTTCATCGATCGCTTGAATATTTACTTATAATTAACATAAAAATCAAAATATTTTCGGAGTTGGATTATAATAACTAATATTTTTGAATTTAATGTATTTGGCACTAATTTAAATGTTTTTATTTCCTCGATAATTTGATGAATGTAGTGAATAGTAATATAATAAAATTGATACTCAAATTATCTTGTTATCCTGATTTTCTTTACTTATGGCGCTTTATTTATTCACAGTCAACATAATTGGTATTCTATTAAAGAATTTTTAATAGAATAAATATAATGTTGACCATGAGATAATCAATTCCGTGATAAATAGTCAGACCAATTAATTGTGACAAACATAATTTATAAAATCACAATTGTTTGAAAAAAGTAAAATGTGCTGTATAAAAATTATATCATATGTTAGTTGAATTGAATTATAAGTACATTTTACTTTTTTTAAAAGCACATTATAAATGCCCAGAAAACCTATTATATATTCAAGTTGAATCGACTTTTTAACTTTCCGAATTTCAGTCTTTGTTAAACTTCACTAGCATTTGTGATTACATTTCGGTATTGTACGAAAGAATTATCAGAACTCGGTCTGAAGAAGATTAGAGCAAATGAAATAGGTACGCTATTAGCTCAAGAACAATAGCAAAAGCAAAAATAAAAATTTGCTTGTGTTAGAGTTATTCATTTTTGAAAGAGAAAATCGACTTTTCTTTGTGTGCAAGTTACTTTTATGATTCTATAAAATACTAGATATATCGATACTTACATAATCACTAAAAACATTTTATAAAGTAGATTCTAAAATTCATTTTAATTTTTTCAAATATCTAATATATAATCAACTTTTGATTAACAAGATTTTTAAGCTTATGATATAAAAAGTAAAAATAAGTTAGCAAGTTTTTCTCACAGGATTCTAACGCACGATTCATATCTCCCATTTCATATTGTGCTTCTTAGAATCCGATTAAATCTAATAAATTCTCTCACTGTGTTTCATAAATAATACATATTTATACGCTCCTCGCGAATGTCCCAAAATTGCAGCTCTTCTATGCAATTATTGTGACAATCTGATAAAGTTCGCCCATTTGTACATTCGCAAAGCTGTTACGTATTGTTATCGGCTGCATATTTATACAATCAATACGCTTGATTATAGTAGTGATTGGAACCGCTTAAAAAACCCTTAATCGATTAATCGGTTAACCGCGCGTTTTATATATGTATAGCTTATAATTCGTTATTGTTACATGTATCTACTAGTTCATCGATATAATCATCGTTTTTTAATAAAAACACTGTCATAATCATTAACGCTAATAAAATAAATTGTAATAACGATAATATAATTCTATTCTTATCACTAAATAACATTACGCCTACAACAAAGAGTACGTATTTTGTTATTTACACAACAATAGAAGTTAAAAGAGCCTTCTTTTTTATGCGTTCAGTCTTTCATCCTTTTATAATGCATATTGTTGGACGTACGTAGTATTCCTGTGTCATTTTTCATGCATAAATCGATACAATTCACACATATAAATAAATCATCGTTTTTTAAACAAAACCCTGCCACAATTACTAATACATCTAAAATTCATGATTGTAGTGAATGCTGGCGTTGTCAAGAGGATTACTACTGTAAAACGTGTTCAGTTCACAATATTCATGATTGTAGTAATAACGGTTGTCAACAATGGGGTTACTGCGATGAGTGTTCGGTTCACAATACTCATGATTGTAGTAAATGTACTAAATGTCAAAAAATGCGTACTGTGAGGGATGTTTTCGATATCACAAACGAATTTATGTTGAATGATCTAAGACATTGACAGTCTAATAAATGAATACAGCAGAATTGCTGATGAAATGGTAGCAGTAGATATAAATCTTTCGAATGGATCCTTTTTGAACGATTTATCAATGTTGAATATCTTGCAAAAGGAGACTTCGGATCGATTTATAAAGCAACCTGGTTGGCCGAAAAATTGTCTATTAGTTGGGACCATGAAGAAAATAAATTTAAACGAGAGGGAGAAACTGAGGTTGTGTTGAAATTATTACACAATTCAAAGCAAATTAAATCCTAGTTTATAACCGAGGTAAAATGAACACCTTAAGTGCAAGCATATGGCTTTTTTGGTTTTTCAATATAATTAACTTTTTCAAAATTAGATTCGGACTGCTCTAAAATGCAGACCTCTTATTTATATAATAATAAAAAATGGTGAAATAAGATATTATCGTTATGGAATAACTAAAAATACAGCTAATGAATACTCAATAGTGATGATGGAGTATACAAAACATGGCGATCTTCGTAAATATATTAATTTCAACTACGTACGAAGAATTGACTTGGGAAAAAAATTAAAATATTTACTTGATATTATCGAAGGGCTAAATAACATTCACGAAAATAAGTTTTTGCATCGTGACTTTCACCTTGGAAATATATTATGATATAAATATTTTTATGTACAAATTGCAGATTTTGGACTTACTGGACCAGCAAATTTATGGCATACTTCCTTATATGAGTCCGGAGGTGCTAAACGGAAAACCACACACAAAATCGGCAGATGTTTATAGTTTTGGAATGATTGTATACGAAATTGTAACAGGCGAAAGACCATTCAGTGATGATATATATATTGCATTAGACATTCATAATGGTGTACGACCTAAGATAACAGACAATGTTCCCGGATGGTGCAAATTTATTATTGAAAAATGTTATCCTATTCCAGAAAACCGACCGACTGCTAAGGAAATTAATGAATTTATTGAATCTATTCTCTATGTCAACGGGAATAGGAAGGATAGACAAAATACTTTGCATTTTCAGTACTACAGCTTTTCAGAGGATAAAAAATTATTGAATGTCTTAGACTAGAAAGAGAAAAATTGAAAAAATTTGATAAAAAATGAAATTGCAAAAAATCAAACTTACAAATACAAACAAAAAACAACAAATACACCGAAATGCAGTTTATACCAGTCGAATCTTTACTCGAAAATTAATTTCAATCCCGAATGACGCAGGTACCTTTTTTATTTCTAATATAAACCACATTGACGGTTCATATGAATTAAAAAATTATTTTGGATATTAGGTGCTATAAGTGTTCCACGAAGGTAAAATTATTATTTAATATTATTTTTATTAAATATAAGTTTATATATGAGAACCGTAATTTACCGTTTAGAATACCCCGGGTATGTTACATTCCACCAGCCAAATTCGATTTGTACCCGGGGAAGTATACTGTACGGCACGATGGTATATTATATGGGGATCTTCTATATACAAATGATAGTTTCAGCCAGAATTAGCCTATATTTGACCAGAATTACAAGGGAGGTACGTTACCTTCTACTCACTTTGTAAACCATGCATCGGACCGGGTACAATTCATGGGGGGTATAATATTATAGGAGGGTATTCTAAATGGCAAATTACGGTACTGAATTCGATATTGATGTTGAAGCCAACCGAATCTCAATTGTCGATTTGTATGTTCCAAATGTCTCACAAGGGTTTGGTATTGATGTTGAGAGTAATGGAAAAGATGCCCGAAAGAATATCAAAACACGATGTAGTTTTTTCTCATTAACAACAACGAGTTTTAAAAGATTGTATGCTATTTATAAGTATTTAACAAAAACTAGATTTCGAAGAGACAGTAAACGTCCTATTGAACACGGGGAAAGATTTCATTTTTATCGAATTAAGACTATATTTTATTTTTAATTAATTCCTCGAACAATTTTATTTTTCATAACAAAAATTAATATCGATATCAAATACCGGAATTTTTCTCATTTTTATTTTTACTATTTATATTTTTTCTCATCTTTCATTTTTTTATGTATTCGAACTTATACCATCGATTATGTATGTATGTAATTTTTAATAGCATTAAAAGAAAAGTTACGTACGTATATAGAACTTCCATTTATCAGCATGCCACATCTTTTTAACGTTTATACAGAAATCGTTATTTTCAGTGGTGGTGCAAAACAGACATGGATGAAGAGTAGAGCTTGGACTCGAGTCAAATCAGAATTTTCAATGATTTAGTAACAAACAAAAAGCGGATTCTATTATTTATCACTTTCTTTGTGTTTACACATATCGAGATATTTTTATTAGAAATTCATTTATTAAAATCCACTTATTTACATAACAATTGGTAGTTTATTTACTTATCGTTATATATTTTCGTTATCATGCATAGACTGAGTTTACATTAAAGCAGAATTATATGTACTGTATTATCTTTATTTCTTCATATAACTTCCATTTATTCATTTATGTTAACGTTACACGTATGTATTACGCGTAAGAATTTCACATGAAAATGACGCATACAACATGCATTTGAAAGAAGAGTCTTATTATTTACACACACAAATAGAAGTCGTAAAAAGCTTCTTTTATCGCTATGCGTTCTATCTCCTTTTTTTATACCGATTTTATACACAAATAACTCGTCTTATTAAATTTGATCTCATACACGTCATCTTTCACGCATAAAATCAATTTACAAATAGTACTACAGTGGGTGACACCGTAACTCATCGCCTTCATTATTTCGTTTTACAACTACATGTACTTAATACAGTCAGACCTCCCTAAGTGCAACTCGTCGGGACCATACAAAAACTTGCACTTAGAAGATATTGCATTTATGGGGGGGGTAAAAATACATATATGCCTTATAAGTTGGGGCCAAATTAGAACGTGCATTTAGAGAATAATTGCACTTAGAGGGATTGCACTTAAGGAGGTCTGACTGTAATTTGTTAATATCGACATGACGTAATATCAATATGACATGGATTTCTGCATCACTAAATAGGAACAGAAATAGAAATCGTCCAAACAGATCTATTAATTGCTTTAACGTTAAATGTTTAACGGGTCGGGTTAATCATTAACTCAAATTCCCTATATAGTAATGATAGAAAAATCTTAATAGACAGGGGAAGATTAATAATGTGCGTGAGGTTTTGAATATTGATCAAAATCCAATTTTCAAATGTACTTTGACAGTAGAGTTTTAATAAATTAGGGTTTGTTTGGCGATGAGTTCATCGTAGTGACTTGCTCCTTTGTAGATATTAACTCTTAAAGAATTCATTATATTCATAAAGTAAGAAAAAGTTCTCACATATGTATTGTGAAATTTTTTTAGCCAATCATTTATCAAATCCATCAAGTGAGATCCAAATACTCCAAAATTTGATATCAATATGATAACCGTACCGTACTAACACTCGCCTTTCAGGTAGAAGCATCCCCTGCTGGTCGCTCTGAACAACCCACCTTCATGCTAAGCAAGGCCCGAAGGAGATGGCGTTGGGGAGACTTTTGTGCTTTTTTTGCAATATGGATCGACAGTTATGGATGTGGCATCGTTACCGTTACAGTAAATTTATTTTGAGCGGTTGTCAAAAAATAGATCACTCGAAGTACTCTAACTCTTCTACCAACTCTTTTCCCTACAGAAACGTCGTTCCATACGTATTTAGTTAAATCATACTGCACATTAACGTTAAGTCGCAATATATATCTGAAGCATAGCATACGTATATAGAACAATACTTTATCGTTATTTGAAAAGTTGCTATTGTTCTCTATAATAAAAAACAGACTGATGAACATCTTTCTGATATAACCCACACAACAAATTGTATTGTATTAATTGGTTTTTGTTTCCATTTTTGGAATATTGTGTGATGATTGTGGGGGGGGGATTCCTTAATTTATTTATTTAATTTAAATAGGGAACGTTGTTGATCTCCAATGTTTAAGAAATCCTTTTTTTCTCCATGTGAAATAGAATTTAATTTGAATAAGGATACGATTAATATTTAAAAATTGTTTTCATCCATACCAAATGGAATTTAAGTATCAACAACAACGAAAACAAGAACAATTCAAACAAACGTTTCGTAAAACGAGTAATCTAATAACCACCCGATTATTAGACTCTCTTACTAAAAACGACATGTCAAAGTCATCTTCCACCAATCAATTTTCCTCTGAAAATTATCCTATAAAGTGTTATTGTGGACTAAAGGCAGAATTGATTATCGCCTCAAAACCAAACCAAAATATCGAACGGCTATTTTTTGCGTGTTCAAGATTTAACACAAACGAGGATAAAAATCGATGTTCGTTTTTTCGCTGGGAGAATGAAATTCATGAGAAAAATGGCAACAAACCATTGACGAGTCAACGAAACTATGAAGAAATGAAAACAAAAGAAAAAAAGATGAATGAAAATTGGAGAAAGACTAATGGATCGATATTACTTGATGATCGTAGCTTGAATATAGCCAAGAATAATGAAATTAAAACAATAACGCCTTCAACAACAACAACAACATTATTACCAATTAACCATCATATTCAATCGTGTGGTTTTTCAAAAAACACAAATCTACCTTACTCGAGGTACCAAGACAATCATTCGCTTACCCGTAAGAGAAAAATAAGATCACATAATTACAATCGCCATTATCATCACAAGAATTCTAGAAAGTTTGCAAATAGCTTAATTCTACTGAGAAAAGATAATCTTATCTTAAAATCTCAGATTGAATTTTTAAATCGACTTCTAGATGATGTTAATGGTGTTCTTTGTAAGCTTGATGATAATAGTAATACAGATGATAATATTGATGATAGAAATATTATTGAGAGTGATTATGAGGTCGATGATAACGATGAAGAGCGTTTTAGTTTAGGATACGAGGAAATCTGAATTATATTGTTTTCTTGATTTGAGTTTCAATGGGGATGAATTTTCTACGGAATTCAGGATGTCATTTTATAATTAATTACACACCGATTATATAACAATCTGAAGACCTAATACATGTGATAATAATGAAATCTCTAAAACATTCTTAAAGTGCAATCTTAATATTTATATTTGATGTATCCTGCCAAATTAAGCACCATTTTTTGGCTCGAAAAACGGGTTGGTACTTATTGAGATAAGGTGGTGATAAATCAACCAAAGAGAATCTTACTAAATTCATCTAACAAGAGAGATCTTAATTGTGACTTGGAAAATATTTATTCCTTTCTTCAAAATAACGTATCCAACTCGGGATAGGAATCGATTCTCTAGAATCGATTTTGAAACTAGGGTCGAGGAAATCGATTCTAACACGACAAAATGCATCAAGAGTAAATTAATTGGAAAATCTCGATTGCCACGTTCTGACAATATGGCGACTCACTATCGCGCACGACAAATGGTTTTGTCATTAAGCAATAATAATACCCGAGCATTTGATGATGACCAAAAAACTTTGCCAATATTGAGTTTAATGACCCTGATTGTGATAATACTGACTCCGAAATAACAATATCAAAAGAAACCTTACATTATTTATCATGATAATGACAATACCATTTTGTTTAATGTACTAAATTTAGTTGGCTAAATTTTGGTCGGGATATGGCATAGCGATAGGTATGAAAACTAAGATTATCAGATCAAATTTGATTTACGTTACCGTCTCATGAAAATTGTTTCGTAAGTCATGTGTTTGAGCACGGTACTGTAATTATATGTAGTTAAGCGACGAGTTTTATCACGTATTTTTTGTGTTCGAACACACAAATTAATCATAATTGAATAACCGCACGCTTTAATTTCATGTGATTTCCGGACCAATTACAAGCAATTAATTCCTTGTGATTTCAAGACTCCATACTCAAACACATAATTTACGTGCAATTAATTCCATGTTAATTTCAGATTCCATAATCAAACTGATGATTTACACATTATAATTCCAGGTTTTCGTGTTTATATGTAGAAAGCATTGCCAGGCCATATTCCGTGTCAGTTTTTTATAGGGTATTACATGCAGGACACTTAAAGACGCCATCACGTATTTTTGATTCCAAGAGACAAACAGAATTTAAATGGGCCAAAAATTCGAATTTTTGACCACTTGCAAAAAAGCTCGTGATTATCACATGACACGTGTCATTTGCTAAGTGGTTTATTGCAATAACCAATAAAATAACAAAACATGACTCATGATTGATCAATCAAATTTGATTGGACGATCACAGCTCACGTTATTTATCCCACTGGCCATCGATACTAGTCAAAAATAAGTGATTATTTTTTAAAAAGAGGGTCGCTATTTTGTAGCTAGATCTATTTACTATATTTTTATATGATCTTTGTATGAAAATCCTTTGCCTTTTAAAGATAACTAAATTTTATTGGCGTCTTTAAGTGTCCTACACTATACATCATAAATATTATCAACTTTAGATATTCATCCAACCTCACAATTTCAACCATGTGTGCCACACTATTCATTCCTTCGCCAATCTTCTGAATCTGTAGGTCTAGTGATGTTAAAGGTTCAGTCCGAGCTGATAGGATGATGGACCATCCATAGGCTTGATTTAGGACTGAATCGATCCGGGAATTAATCCAGGACCGGATCATTGCAAGACGTGATTTAATTATTCTTGAGCATTTTTAAGTACAAATTCCCCTTATTTAAATATACTTTTTGGAGTTTTCACAAATAAATGCTCAAAAAACATATCTATCGAGAATTCGGCTAAGAAAAACAAGAAGAGTGCCAGTTCATGACAATCTTGAGAGCACAGATGATGACTCGTTATGCAAACTACGCAACACCATACACAGTATCTAGTTTGGGTATATTAAAGCAATTACTAATGCTAAGTGTGACGTCCATACTAAGTTTATGACCATAATCACGTGACGTGATCTGCAGTCTTGGCCCAGTCCAATTCTTTGCTGTATCACCAGTCTGTTTCGATCTTTCCTGTATTGGTCTAATCTAGTTCAGTCAATCCTTTGCATCAATTCAGTTCTGTCTAGTTCTTTGAATGAAATTAGACTGAACTGAATCTTTAACATCCCTAATGAAATGAAAGTATGACTATCATATTAATGATTATAATTTTTTAAATATGGGATCCACTTTAAACTTATACCATTTGTAGATAATTCACTTTACTGGAACTAGATTTTAATAATGATGCAATGTAAAAGACATAATGATAAATTCATTAATTACTTAAGCTCAATTTGTAAGTGAAATAGTTTTTATTTGCTATTTCAATATAACTATCACTATGTCAAAAGAAGTATTTTCAAATAGTAGTTTGTACCTCAAGACTGCAACATAACATGATATTGCAATTTGCTGCAAATTCTGAGGAAAAAGAAAAACTAATTAATAATATTACAATACAACAGTCATTAAAAGTATTGCAACACATAAAATTACTTTCGTGAATAAAAGTATCAACATTCAGGTTTTCATCTAATGGATCAATTATTTTAAGTTGATATACTTTCGTAACTGAGTTATACTTGACCCTCAGTATAATGAATCGATACATTAAATTCACATTATAATGATAATGGATTTTTAAATTTTTGCTTCACATATAAAAACAAATATGAACATAAAATCTGTTATTACATGCATGTAATTAGTAATTTTTGTATAACGAGGGTCGATTATACATGTATTAGTTTGATTGTGTAACATCGAGTTCTATGCATGATAAATAAGACCAAACACATAAAAAAGAAGCTGTGTAAATAATAAAATGCGTAATGTCATTTTTCATACAAATTATTATGCTCGTTGAAGTTCTATGAAGAATTTATAGGGCAGAGATACAGTTTTCTATTTATATATTATTTGTTCATGTGTATGAGATAACAGCAAGTACATGTATATGTATTATGCATTAGCCAACATAAGGTCGTGGAAAAAAATTAAAAATCATCGACCTTCTGATTAGTTCGCCGCAAGTTACACTAAAAACTTTGACTGTTTCTAAAAGTTATAAAAGCCTTCGTTCTGTCTCATTTGTCATGCATGTTAGTACGTAGTATTTGCATAAATCAATACAAACACAAACGGAAGTGAACGACGACTTTCACACGTATAAATAAATATTTTTTTTTAAATAAAACACTGTCATAATCACTAATAAACTCACAGATGGGAGCTATAACTTCGAAGATTCATTGTAGTGAATGCTGGCGTTGTCGAGAGGATTACTACTGCAAAGCGTGCTTAGTTCATAATATTCATGATTGTAGTAATAACTGTTACGATTGCCAACGATGGGGTCCCTGCGATGAGTGTTCAGTTCACAATACTCATGATTGTAGTAAATGTATCAAATGTCAAAAAAACGAGTACTGCGATGGGTGTTTTCGATATCACAAACGAATTTATGTTGAATGTTCTAGTGGAAATAAAGATATCGACAGTCTAATAAATGAATGCAGCAGAATTGCTGGTGAAAATAGTAAATATAGATTTTTCGAATGGATCCCTTTTGAAAGATTTATCTATGTTGAATATCTTGCAAAAGGAGGTTTTGGATCAATTCATAGAGCAACCTGGTTGGATGGACCATTGGATAACAAATGGGATCATGAAAAAAATAGATTTAAACGAAATCATATGATCGATGATATTGTGTTGAAATCATTACACAATTCAAAGCAAATTATATCCGAGTTTATAAACGAGGTAAAATGAACACCTTTTAAAGTGTAAGCATATGGCTTTTTTGTGTTTCAATCTAATTAACTTTTTCAAAATTAGATTCAGACTGCTCTAAAGTGTTGTGATGGTTATATTAACGTTAATTATTATGGAATAACTAAAAACCCAGCTACAAATGAATACTCGATAGTGATGGATTATGCAGATGATGGCGATCTACGCAAATATATGAATTCCAACCACCAAAAATTGAATTGGAAACGAAAATTAGAACATTTATTTGATATTACTCGAGGATTGAATTACATTCACATTAAGGAATTTGTGCATCGTGACTTTCACCCTGGAAATATATTAATACATTATCGTTCTCCTCACATTGCTGATTTTGGACTTACCAAACCAGTAGAAGTAGATATAGAAAAATCTGATAAAGCAATTTGCGGAGTACTTCCTTATATGAGTCCAGAGGTACTAAATGGAAAACCATACACTAAAGCTGCAGATATTTATA